CCTTCTCTTTTGTTTCTTGGATAGCCCATAGTCTCCCAATACCATTGACATAAGAAAAAAAGCCAAAGTTGAATGACTTTCATTTTATATGGTAAAATATTGACATTTTCTCAATTTATTCTTGTCATCTCAGAAATTCTCTTCATAGATAAGAGAATACATTCAGATCTGATTTTTACATGCTCTAACCACAAATCATACAATTATTCCATTTTCTCCCCTTCCTTCCCCATAGGGGAGGGAACTTCGTTCATAATTGAACTCTAGTATTTCTTCAGAAGACTTTTAGAAGTAAATCATCCATAATAAAGCAACCACAGAGCAGAAAGAGGGCAAGGTAAGTTTATCATAATCCTCGTGTGTTTAATAGTACATAATCTGTCTTATAGAAGCATAGAAATTCAGATTTGGAAGGGATCTTAGCTGGAGACTCAGTACAACCCATACCTGACCAAGAATCCCTTCTATCATATCTTTGGTTCATGGTCATCTACTTTTCACTTGAAGATTTCCAGTGAGAGGGAACCCACTGCCTTGCTAAGCAAGTGGAATCACTCTTATAAAATGCCAATTGGTTTTTTTTGGGGTGCCTTTTCCCCCTTAGAAAAAGCTTTAATCTTCCTCTCTACAACTTCCATCTACCCTTAGTTCTAACTTGTGGGGCCAACTTGAATAATGATAGCTTATTTTCTTATGTAATATTTCTGCAAATACTTGAAGATACCTTAAGGTCTTCTCTTTGTTCTTTCCTCTGTCAAGTCTTCTCCAGCCTAAACATCCTCACTTTCTTCATCCAGGCCTTATATGATATTGCCTGTGATCTTCCTCCCCATCCTGGTCAATCTGTTGTGGAGAAGTCTTCTCTTCTCCAGTCTAAATATTCCCAGATCGTTCATTCAAAATGTCATGACCTCTGATCCCCCTCTCCACCCCGAGAGAACCACGCTATGAATGTTTTCTAGCTGCTCAGTACGGTGCCCTGAACTGAACACAATACTCCAGCAGCAGTTTAATTAAGGCAGAGTCCAAAGGATGTATTTACTCCCTTGTTCTGAGCACTGACTATAATCAGTGTCCCATCATTAGCTTATATAATAGCTAGCTTTTCTGTAGCACTTTAAGGTTGGCAAGGCATTTTCCATATGTTATGCTATCTTGTCTCAAAGCAACCCCGAAGGACATGAGGCTAAGAAAGAGATTTGCTGAGGGTCACACAGAAACTAAGTGCCTGAGGAAAAGATTCAAACTCAGTCCTTCTTTTCTCCAAATCCAGCACTCTATGTACAATATAACCTTGCTGCCTCATACTAAGACTGTAAAGCCTTAACCTCCACAGATTCTCTCAATAAAATAGGTAAAGCCTATAAAATCAATAATATTTGTGTATATGGGCATGGGTATTATAGCAGTGTCTAACAGGACTAATTCATTTATTCAAGAGCCAATTATTATGCTGAACATGATGGATGGTCTTGCATTTCTTGCTGTGGAGAAGGTTGAGGCTAAAGGATTTCTTGAGCTCAGGAGTTCTGAACTGCAGTGGGCTATGTCAATCAGGTGTGTACACTACACTCAGTATTAGTAGAGTGAAGCCCCAGAAGCAGGGGGCCACCGTGTTTTCTAAGGACTAGTGAACTGACTAAAGTCTGAAATGGACCAGGTCAGTGTTTCAAATCAAAAAGTATGATCAAGCAGGTAGATCCTGCACTTTTAATCTGGGTGGGATATATAGATAGAGAGCTAGAGATAGTTATATAGGAATCGGTAGATAGAGAGGTGATCCTAGTGAGATAGAGATAGGAAGAGATAAACAGAGATAGAGATAGATCTAGACACATAAATATATGCACACATATTTGTGTATATATGAATCTGTGAGTATATGATATATGTAAGTAAAGGTTTATGTGCATGTATAGGTATATGTGTATGTATATATAATATGAATATATCTTTTATGTACATATACTTCTATATGTACTGTACACATATGTATGCATGCATGCATGCATGTATGTATGCATGTATGTAACAATGATTAAGCCTCTACTTTTTGCCAGGCATTGTATTGGGCACTGAAGACACAAAGACAAAATGGAAACAATCCCTATGCTCGATAAGCACTATTGTTATGTAATATGAATTATATTGTTCATCTAATATTGCATTTCTTTGATATTATTAATGTCTCCCACTTATATAGGAATTTAAAATTTACAAAGCTCTTTACATATATTATGTCATTGATCTCTACAATAAGCCTATGAGATAGATGGTGTTATTTCAATTTTATTTATCATTTCAGCATCTAGGAATGTGATTCATTAAAAATGTGTACAGTAACTTTCCAGAGACCTTCTGAATTTGTTTTCAGAGGCCCATTCTTTTGGTCCATCTTTTTGTATTGACCAAAAACACAATTTCCAGTAAGTGAACACTTTGCACAGTTTGAAGTAAAGCCTAGAGCATATTTCCTAGGGGACCAAAAAAATTCTCATTTTAAAATTATATTCTAGTTGGAAAATACCACTCAGCATGAAGAGATAATCTGTTCTTTCACAGGGAGCAACAGAAAGTTGTTTTGTTTTGCTTTGTTTTTCAGTCCTGAATTTTGAAAGACTTGTATCTGTATATGGAGCTTCTTCCTATGGGGGAGGGAAGAGGAGGGACAGTAATAGATTCAGGTAAAATGAGTCTCATGATTCCTCTTATGCTCCAGTTGTGATAAACACAGAGTAATTGTCAGCCTTATGAAAGCTACTCCGTATGGGAGATTTTTGCATATGGTTCTCCCTTTCATCTTTTGAAGATACATTGGGTCAACAAGGATATTGATTCTCATCTTTCTCCATCATGGCGATCATAATGACTCACACACACTTACATTGAAGGCCCAGAAATAACTGCCCACATTAGTAACCATTTTTAGTTAAAGAGCCTTCTGAGCCATATTACGTCTTCAATCTCATTATGCCATTCTCTTCTTACAGAATCACCCAGAGCACACATATAAGTTTATGCCATTGTTCATGGAACAGTGTGTGATTTTTTTAAATTATAAAACACAAGAGAGAGAACTCTGTTATGGGGGAAGGAGAGGATCTCTATGCCTTCCCTTCTACTACCAAGCAATTGAAGGGGTGAGTTGCAGGAGAAGCACACGTTTAGCTGGGCTTCATGTGCTTGTGCAGTTGGTCTGAGGTTGCTGACTATTCAGTTCCTTATATCCTCTGGCATCCATGAAGATGGACTTTCCCTGCTCAAGCAGCTGAAATCTTGGTACAGTTCCTGAAAAACAAAAATAACACCTTCCCCCCCCCAAAAAAAAATACAGAGGCAAACATGTACTTCCTTTCATATAATGTCTTACAGGAGAAATATTTACTGAGAGTGCACTTCCTCAGCTCAGAGAGTAGGGAGGGAGTGCATTTATTTGACCCTACTGATGAGGTGATACAGTTGATAGAGCACTTGGCTTGGATCAGGAAGATATCTTTATGAGTTCAAATCTGGCCTCAGACATTTACTGGCTGCGTGACTCTGGCCAAGGCAGTTAATACTGTTTGCCTCAATTTTCTCATCTGTAAAATGAACTGGAGAAGGAAATGGCAAACCAGTCCAGGATCTTTCCCAAGAAAAATCCAAATGGGGTCAAGAACAGTTGGAAATGACTGAAACGACTGAACAGCAATAACAGCTGACAACCAGCTAACTTGGAAGAGTTCCTAAGGGATCTAATAAGGCCAAGAAAAGGAGTTGGAGGCTCAGTTACTTTTGCTCTGATCCATGGCCAAGGAGGCCTTGACCCAGAGCACAGATGAGCCATATCCTTTTGGACATAGTTAAGATGGGAATCTGTTTTGCTTGGGTATGTATATTTGTAATGAGAGGTTTTCTTTTTTTTTTTTAATTTAATTTAATTTTTTTTAATTTTGCAGTGGAAGAGATATGAGGGACAGAAAATAGATTGCTATTTATTTGTTGGTTGGATATTTTTCAAAAAGACCAAGGAAAGCAAACTCATACTATAGTATGGATACATATATAATCCCTATTTGAAATCCTCAATACTCAAATGGATCTGTGATCTCAATGATTTTGGAGCTGCTTCTAGTAATGCAGATCTCAACTCATTCATGCCTGGCTATCCCATGCAACTCTTGCCTCTGTTCTCTCAAATATTCATCATCAGGGGTTCATCCAGCATTCTGATGTATAGACCTTCCTTGCTTGCTTTCTTTTAGTATTATAATAGGACCAGGAGAGAGCCCTCTGATTATTCACCTATCATTCCTCATTCTTGCCACAAGATTAGTCCATTTCTCTTCCCATCATAGGATTCCTTGATGACCTTTTTTTTTTTTACTCCTTTCTCCAGAGTTCCTTATTTATTACATATTGCAGCCTATTCCCACCCACTGGGTGCCTTTCCAGTAACCTCTGTGTGTTACTTATGTTGAGTTTTTCAGAGATAGTGCAGTTCTAGGTCTTGTTCCAATACAGCTAGACTGGTAAAATCTGAGTATTGAAAAGAGGCCCCTTCACTTTCATGAGAGGCTTGGGACCAGTAAATGAACTTTGTAAATTCCTAAAGGCAATTCCAACCTATTCTCTTCCCTCTGTTTGACTTTGGGTCCAGGTCATTGTCTGTCTGTGTTATCATTCTTCAATTTACATATGCATCTTGAATGAGATCTATAGGATATTCATTTAGAAACATGCTGATATTTGGATAACCCATATCCTTCATCATTTGAGGTTCTCTATGGGGAGAGACAAGGCAAACTTCTATGAGTGATTATAGATCTCTTTCTTCTAAGATGCTTTGCAACATCGTAAGGCTTGATGCAGTCAGCACAATGTCATCTGTAAGTTGAACACACATGACAACAACAACAACAATATCTGGACAATCTAACCACCCACAAGAGATCAGGCCCTCCTTGACCTGGACTGGGTCTCTTCTCTCACAGTGGAGAACATCTTTGTTGAGCAAAAATCTCTCTGTTCCATGCCTCTTCTAATGTTTATTATTAGAGGCTCATTGCACAGAGTTATTTATTTCTGTTACATCTTCCGAAGAATCCTGAATTATCTTGATGTATGGATGGCAGGCAGCTTGTTGTAGAAGAGCCTGTAAGGCAGCATTTGTTCTAAACCAAAGAGAACAAAGAACTTGTAAGACAGCATTACAGAGAACAAAGATGAGAAAAAAAATAGCTGGATTGGACCAAGTGAGTGTAGAGGGAAATGGTGCTAAAGGCAATACAATTGCGAAGGAATCAAGGGGAGACATCAAAGGTATAGGGGAAAAACATCTTGGACCTTATTAATAACAAAGAAAAAGTGACTGCAAGATCACCAAAAAACCTCCTATCCATCTGCCTCCCCTTCCATCTATAGAAAATCTTTATAAGACTCATCTCTACACAAATTGAGAGCATGTTCAATGACGGTATTAGTCAGGAACAATTAGACTTTTAAAAGCAATGTTTAACAATGGACCAAATCTTTATTATCTCATAATTAATTGAAATAATTTAATATCCTATTGTTCTTTTTTATTGATTATGAAAAAATGATTTGGTAGGACAATTTGAAATCCTACAACATAAAATTAATACTAGGAAACCATTCACCTTACAGGCACATGTATTAATAAATGTATTTCTGGAAGAGAAGTGAGAAGAAGACAGAGAAAGTAAGGGAATAAGTATTTCTATTACATCTGCTAACAGGCAGCTAGATGGTGAAGTTGATAGATAGCAGGGCCTGGATTCAGGAAAATTCATCTTCCTGAGTTGAATCTGGCCTCAGACACTTATTAGCTATGTGATCCTGGAAAAGTCACTTAACCCTGTTTGCCTCAGTTTCCTCATCTGTCAAATGAGCTAGAGAAGGCAATGGCAAACCACTCCAGTATCTTTGCCAAGAAAACCCCAAATGGGGTCACAGAGATTCGGATACAACTCAAATGACTGAACAATGATAACATATCATCTACTATGTGCCAGAAACTGTACTAAACACTTTAATATATATTTCTCATTTGATCCTCACAACAATCCTGTGAGCTAGTTGCTATTATTATCTCCATTTTAGAGTTGAGGAAACTGAGGCAAACAAATTAAGTGACTTGACCAGGGTCAAACAGGAAGGGATTTTAGAGATCGTCTAATCCAGGGACTCTTGGCTTTGTTTATGTCATTGACAGTTTCAGCAGTCTGTTAAAGCCTATGGAACCCTGAGTTGAAAAATTTTTATTGTATAATTGCATCATATAATTGTATATACTGTAAAATGTTTATTGTATTATAAAAACATATAATCATCATTGGGGAAAGTAAGAAACTTTAGTTGAAGGTTAGTGAAAATAAATTATAATTTTTCTCATCCATGTTCACAGATCTCTAGGTTAAGAACTCATAATCTAGTGAAGGGGTGGAGAACCTGTGGCCTTGAGGACACATATAGTCTTCTAGGTCCTTGGTTGTAACCTTTTGATCAAATCTAAGTTTTACCGAACAAATCCTTTTATTAAGGGGATTTGTTCTGTGAAGTTTGGATTCAGTCAAAGGGCCACACTTGAAGACCTAGAGTGCCATATGTGGCATTGAGGCCCCAAGTTCCCAACTCAATTCCAGTCCAAACTAATAATTTTATAAATAACAAAACTGAGGCCCAGAGTTTAATAATTGTCTTAGCTTATACAGGCAGAATATAGAAGTATGGGTATTTGAAGCCTGGGTCTCTGACTCCAAATCCATAACTTCTGCTAGTCACCACCAGCACCCTCCAAACTCAGAACTTCATTTTTTTTCTTATCTTTTCTTTTTTCCATCTGTAAAAGGAAAGGGTTTAGCTTTTAAGATTCCTTTTGGCTCTAACTTTTCTGTAATTATATAATTTACAAAACAAAATAAAAAAACCCAAAACAAAGAAATTGAAATAATATCGCAGTAAAATGAGTTGGCCACAGGTTGGTAAATGTATCAAACCTTAGTCTTCTTTCATATGGACTGGGGCAGTCTAAGAGTCATGACCCATATTGAATTCATAGAAGCAGTCTTGTGGCTTTTTTGAGATGTTATTTTGTTTGAAATCAGAGATCATGAATTTGAAGTTAAAAAAATTTTAGAGATTCACAATCCAATCCCTTCGTTTCATAGATGAAGGAATTGAGGTTGAGAAATGCTGCGACTTGGAAAGTCGTCTGGGTAGTAACTTACTATCTGTACCCAAATCACCCATTTTTGTATGGGATTAAATGGTGTAGCTGAAATTGCTAGTAATCTTACTTTTCCCTAGCCTAGCCATTGGCAGTGTGGCCTGGTAGATTTGGAGTCTGGAGAGCCTTGGGTTGTAAAGGCTCTGAAGCTTACTGGCTCTGTGGTATCATGGGCCAACCACTTAGTTGTTGTTGTTTTTTGTTTTTTGAGCCTGTTTCCGTTTTCATAAAATGGGATAATGCCTGTGATAAGTACCTCACAAAGATGTTTTGAGGATTGAATGAGATATAATGTATGTAAAGGTCTTAATAAACCTTAAAGCAATCTGCCAGTTATCAGTGCACAATAAACATTAAATAATAGTAATAATTATCATGACAAGAGTAAACAGTTTCATACACATCTGTCTGATGACCAGAGTTTTGGCAGCAGAAAATGAGTGTATTCTCCTTCTCGAGCTCTTGTAGAGAATCCACTGAGCATGAAACAAAAATGCAGGGGCAAAGAGGAAGCAAAATGGTTTGCTTGAAAAATCCCAGTTTCAACAAAACATTAATTGAGGCAATTAATAACTTCAGTGAAGAAGCAATATATAAAATAAATTCACAAAATTATTAGCTTTTCTGTATGTTAATAACAAAACCCAGCAGGAGGAGATAGAAAAAAAATTCGTTCAAAATAACTTCAGAACTCATAAAATATCTGGGAGTTAACCTACCAAGACATATTCAGGAGTTATATGAATACAAATAAAGACGTTTTGTACAAAAATACCAGAAGACAAATAATTGAAAAATCATTGTCTGTGATTGGCCTGCACCAACAGGATAAACATGGCAATGCCACCTAATTATTTTACAGATTTAAAATTGTTCTAATCCAGCTCATACAGGGTGACTTTTGAGAACTATGTAATGTGATATTAGCATTCATCTGGAGGAACAATAGGCCAACAACCTGAAGGGAAGTGAAAGGAATGATGAGTACCTAACATTATCTAGATCTCAAATTATATTATTGAACAATAATTAATAAAACTTTGCAATGATTAGCCACTGCCAAAAAAAATAAAGTTGATCTATGGAAAATATTAGGTAAACAAAATCTAGAATAAAATCAAAAACAGAAATTTCTGGGGCAAGGGCTCCCTTTTCAGCAAGAACCACTGGTACTCCAGCACCTAAACATGGTGCCAGATACCTAGTAACCATTTAATAAATGATTGTTGATTGATCGAAAACAGTTTGGCAGAAATCAGATTTAGACTAATATCATATTTACAATAAGTTACAAATGGTTACATGATAAATATGAGTGAGGTTGGATCCTGAAAATTAGAATGGAAGAATTTTACACTCGGGACTAAGAGAAGAAATCATCAACAAGGACTAGAAGCAGTCATACCAGATAAAATCAAATGTTTCAATTTCAGAAATTTCTAAAGCTTCAACAGAAACAAAATCAGTACTCCCAGGATGTGAAGAGAAGCTCTTGAATGGGGAAAGAACTCACACTGGAAATTCTGAAATAGTTCTTATAGTCAATATATGAAGTGGATCAGCACAAATATGTAAAAACAAGAGCACCTTCCCAATAGATAAATGGTAAAATTTGTGGCCATGCATTTTCAAAAGAAGAAACACAAACTACCAACAACTATTTGAAACAACCTCAATAGGACCCAAATTATTCATAATAGGCATGTAAATTACAACAGTTATGAAGATTAAAAAAGATGAAAAGTTTAAAAAATGGCAAATGTTGGATGGGATATGGGAAGACTGGCACTGTTGGTCTAGGTGTGAGTTGGTCCATTGTTTTAGGGAAAAAAATATTTGGAATTATCCTAGAAAAGTCATTAAGCTTTGTATAGCCTTTGACTTGGCTCCACAACTCCTGGATATATATCCAAAACAGGTCAAAGGCAAAGGGGAAGATTCCACCTCTGTTACATACTTGTTGTGTGACTCTGGGGCAGTCATTTAACTTCCAAGTGCCCCAGACAACTTTCTAAGAAGGTAAGTTTTAGAATAATTACTGCTTGGTATGCATTGATAAAGGAAATTTCCTCATCAGAAGCTCTCCGTGACAATAAATTTAAAGAAAAGGAGAGGGAAGAAAGGAAAGAAGGAAGAAAGGAGAAAGAGAGGGAGCAAGGGAAGGAAGAAGGAAGAACAAAGGAAGGGAAGAAGGAGGAAGGAGTGAAAAGTAGGTAATAAGGAAAGATGAAAGAAAGAAATTAAGGATGGAGGAAGGAAAAAAGAAGAAGGGAGGAATGAAGGAGGAAGAAGGGAAAGAGAGAAGAAGGAAGAAATACTAGAGGAAAAAGGAGGAAGGAAGGAAAGAAAGAAGGAAGGAGGGAAGAAAGGAAATAGGGAAATATGGAAGGAAGGAAATAAGGAAAGGTGGAAAAATGGAAGAAAGGGGAAAGGAAGGAAGAATGTAAGGGAAGAAGGAAGGAAAGAAGGATGGAAGGGAAGGAAAAAGAAAAAAAGGAGTGATTGGAAAGTGACAACTATGTAAAAAATCAATAAAAGAATCTATTTAATTATTAAGAAAGCCCCTAAAAGGCAGAGAATTATGACAGAGAGCTGGCCTACTTATAAGGAAGATGAGTTCAAGTGCCACTTCTGACACATAGTGGTGGTGCCTGGGTAAGTCAATTAATCTCTCATTATACTTGGTGATTTCTAAGAATGTAAGTCACAGACAAGGTACCGGGATGCATTGGTAAAGGCACTTTTCCCATCCAGAGCTCTATATACCAATGAAGTCAACAGGAAAGGAAGGAGGGAAAAATGGAGGAAAAAAGGAGGAAATGAAGAAAAAGAAAAGAATGAGAAACAGTGGAAGAGAAAAAGCAGGACAAAGAAGAAAAAAGGTAGAAAGGAGGAAAAAAGAAAAAGTAGAAAAGAGAAAGGAAGAAAAAAGGGAAGTAGGGAATAGAGGAAGGAAGAAGGAATGAAAGAGGGAAAGGAGGAAGAATTAATCTAGGGGCTACTTATTTCTCTGCATATCAAGTCATGTAATTAATGTATTGACTCCTTCATCTCCTGTTTGGTAAAATCATTAACTGTATTGATTGATAAGGCTGCAGTTTTGCCCAGGTCACTTTCTGTTCTATGCTTTGACAGATCCAACATTTTTTCCAGTAAGCAGCTGTGCCCAGCTCTTCTGAGATTCTGAGATTTCTTTTCTTTTCTGAGCTTTCTGAACCTTTTCTGAGATTCATTTGGGGATAGTTTCAGAGTGGTTTGCCTCAGGTAAGACTTCCACTTATGAAATGAATCAACTTTGGATTAGGAAGCTCAGCAATGGTAGAGGGGTAAGAATAACTGCTGGGCTGACAGAGCAAAGTATCCAAATAGAAAGAACCCTTCAGTCTGGAAGAAAGGGAGCTAGACAACCCTGCGTGTAAGATCCCGTGGAAAGCTCCAGACACGTCAATGTAAGCAGCTCGCGAGGGAGGAAGGCTTGTCGGCACCTATCAGGCAGACAAAGCAAAACATCTCTGATGTCAGGAAATATGCTGAGATGAGCAAAATACTGCATACAGTAGACAAGAACTCTTGTTATTTTCTCTGTTTTTATTAACCACTTCTATCCCTTTGCTTAATCCGACTTTCCCTGTTATATAAACCATCAGAATTGACAACATAGGATGGAGTTCTTTGAATTATTTGGTCCATAGACTACACTGGGCATGGTGGATCTAATGAGAAGTCCGGTCTCCCTAATGAAGAACCATTATTGCAACACCTCAGAAAAAGTCATGGATGGACTCCAAGGGAACCTAGGCCTGACCCCTGGGGGTAGGAAGAAGAGAAATACACTTGGAGAAAGCCAGTAGGTTTAGCATAGCTTTGGAGCTGGATGGACCTTATCTCTCCCATTAGCCTGTGAGCTCCTTGAGAGAATAGACAATACACATGCACACACACACACACACACACACACACACACACACACACACAATTTCATTATATCCTCAGCACTTGGCACAGTGTCTATAGCACATAGAAGGTAGTTAATATGTTTATTGAAGTAGGATTTGAACTCAGGTCTTCTTGACTCCAAGTCTAGTGTTCCCTGAAGTCCCCATCTAGCGGCCTCAAAATTCATGTTGAGTCAAATTAAATTGAATTAAAGAGTTACTGAGGAATTTTTTTTAAAAAAATCACCAACACACGGACACACTATTGATAAGCCTCTCTGAATTGTTTGGCTGGTGCTTAAATAGAAAATAAAAAAATTCTTTACTGTACCTGTGCTCATAGTATTTGAGAATTAATGCTGTTTTCTCTTTTGCTTCTAATTCATTTTCCTTCATCCCTTTGTATGATGCTGGGAAATTCAAGCTTTTCAAGGGCAGGGACTGTTTTGTGCTTCCATCCATAACACTTTTGTATAGCTATCTGTTTCCGTTTTTTGTTTATCTGCAGTGCCCAGAACATAGAAGACAATAAATACTTGTTGAATGAATAAATGAATGAACCCTTAAGTCAAGATGAGGACATTAAAGTTTATAGACAGACTTTCACTAAATCACATTATTATTATTATTATCATCATTATTGTTATTATTATTATTATTATTAGCAGTAATAGTAGTAGTAATATAAGAATAAGATAATGATAAAACATATGACACAATAAAAGTTTGCAAAATACTATATGTATGATAGCTTATTTAATCCTCATAACAGCTCTGTGAGCTAGGTGCCACAGGCATTATTATCTACATTTTACAGATGAGGTACAGATGGCAGACATAATTTGCCCATGGTTACACAGCTTACGTCAAAGGTAGATCTTGAACCAAGGTCCTGCTGACTTGATGCTTAACATTCTACGCATTATGCCATAAAACAATGCAGCAGAAATACAAATTAAGGAATTGGCCCATGTTTGGAGTTGGAGGGAGGAAGGGTATGGATGGCATCTACTGCCATGTTTTGAATATTGATTCAATCAGACAACTAGATTTGGTGAGTATATCTGATCATATATCTAGTAGCAAGGGTACTAGGTGTTGCTGCTGATCCATTCTCATGGGATCTATATCTAGGAGCAAGGCACTTCATCTGGACTTGGCATCAAATCATAACCAATTTTTGCTTCCAATATTTCACATAAGCCTACGGTGTTGTTGGTTGCTGTTGCTGTTGTTGTTGTTTCCAGAGCCTGTAGGTGCCAGAGGGACTTAAATTGTTCAGAGACATGTTTTCACCATCCCCAAGGAAAAAAAAAAAGGAAGTACTGGTCATGAATGGTGCTTATATAAGAAACTGTGTGACACTAGAAAGGACTTTAAATCGGGGATTGCATAATCAAGTACAAGATGAGAGAATTTATTGGAAATGGTGATTGACTTGAAGCTGAAGAGTGGAGATTAAATCCTTGTTCTGCCATTACTACATGTGTGGCTCCAGACAAGTCATTCTTTAAACCTTGGGGATCCTTATCTGTAAGATGAGAGGATTGGACTCAATGATCTAAGTTCCACCACCTATTTGCCTATGATCCTACAATCCTAAGATCCCAAATTCTTCAATTGGTCAGTCAATCAACAAACATTTATTAAGAATTTGCTACATGCCAACCACTGTGGTAAACGCTGAGACTGCAAATACATACAAAGAGAAAGAAATATAGTCCCTGTCCTCAATGAGCTTACATTCTGATAAGGGAAGAGAACACATAGGAGAGAGAGAGAGAAAGAGAAGAGAGAGAGAGAGAGAGAGGAGAGAGAGAGAGAGAGAGAAAGAGAGAGAGAGAGAGAGAGAGAGGGGAGGAAGAGGAAGAGGAAGATAGCTGGCACTTGAGCACGATAGAGAAAGTTTTGTGGCAATGATTTAAAAGTACAGCCTGGAGAGGATTGAAGACTTAAATTTTGAGGACCTCAGTTTTCTCCTCTTCAAAATTAAAGAGTTAGACTAACTTACTTGTAAAGACCTTTCTAGTTCTAAATCTATGATTTATGATACTAGTTTCAACTTCATTGAATCTCTTCTAAAACCTAGTATAAAACTATGCTTTCACAAATGTTAACCATTAAGTATTAATTATGCTTAACAAACTTAAATGTCTGCTAAAAGAATATATGAATGAATGTCCCAGCCAAGTGTCTTCCATCCTTGGACCTCCATCTTCCCATCAGTAAAGCAAGGGATTTATTTTGAATAGCAGCTATGCTACTTATTATCTCTCTGGCTTTGGGCAAATAAATTCTCTTCTTTTGTGCCTCAGTTTCCTACAGTATAAAATGAAACTGCTTGACTAAATGTTTTCTAGGGGCCCATGTGGCCTGACATTCCATTTTTGGGGATAAAATTATACGATTCAATAGTAATTTACTAATCGTGCTACATACAAGGCAACATGTGAGGAGCCAATGACAAAAGACAGTAATGAAGTGATAATGTTCTTCATGTTAACATTCAACTGGGGCATAGGCCATGGATATGGCTAGGCAAATACAAAGCAATTTCAAAAGAGGAAAGACTAAAAATAGCAGAGTAAGGGGGTGGGGTGTCTAGATCAGCAAAAGCTTCACATAGAAGATGACTCTTGGGCTCTGCTTTGAAGGAAAAATAGATATTCACTCACTTCTCGTCAAAATATAATTGTCCCTCAGCGGACATTATGATACTGTAAGAGCATCCATAAGCATGTAAACTACCTATGCTTTGCATAAAGGTATGAAATCTCCCCCTGGCCTGAGGTGTGAACTGAAGCCATTTTCTCTACCTCTTCTACAAATACAGTTCAAAAAAGAACAGAATGTCTAAGGAAGCTGCTATTAATTTCTAAAGCAACCCTGGCCCCCTCCAGGCAACCCTCCCATACTATCCATTTAAATTGGCAACCTATGGGAATTAATGGAAAGCCAGGAAAGAAAAAAAAATTTTAAAAATAGGTTCACTTCACAGCACATCTGTCACAGGCAGAACACTTGATCTGTTCACAAGGTAATTGGTTGGAAGTAACACCCACCAAGTGGGAAAATTTGCCAGCTGTAGGTCCCTTCTTTCTGAGGCAAGAAAAAAGTCAGATATCCTACTGAGCTGATTAAAACACAGAAATAGGTAGATTAGCCTCGGAGCCCTATTCTGAAAAAGAGCAGTCTGTTCAATAAATACACCTTGCATTGGGGAAGTGAATTTGTCTTGATCGAATGCCTACAGTTTATTAGCAATAATGCTCATTTGCATTAGGCCGCCGTTATCAGATCATGTGGACAGAATGACTACAAGCTGTAAATGGTATGTAATTGCTGAATAATATAAGAGAAGTTTTGAGCAGTTCTGTAATTAAGTTTTCAGAGAGACAATTACTTCAGTAAAGGGATAGAATACTTCTTTTTGACAGAGAAGAGGTTTTCTCTGTTCGAATTCAGGAGGCTATCACCGGCTTTTGAGGCATTGTGTGTTTAATACTCCTAGCAGAAAGCAGGGCAGCCAGGTTTGTTCAACTCAATGAACAAATGTGAAATTAAGTGGGTCTCACCCAATACAGTTTGGGATTAAAAACAAGCCTGCCTTTTAAGCCTGCATAATTTAATGAAATTCATGCACCACTGGTTGGTTATAAATTAAAGATTAGTATATTCTGTGGGCTTGACACAAAATATAAGGGGACAGCAAGTGGATTAACTTTACAGGTACAAGGAGAAATTGTATTAGACAAACACATACTGTAACAAAAGGAAGGAGCTTGTCTGGAACAGGGACAGTAAACTATATAGAGTTGCCATAGAAATTGACTCTTCATAGACATGTGGGCCTGGATGCTATTGGTGGCAATGGAGTACCATTATATCACACATAGCATCAGACCTAGGATGTTTGTCTCCATTGCCCTGATAACTTACCCACTGGATGGTAAAGCTAATGATACATTATAGGACAAGACCTGAACTGCAGTGAGGAGTCCTATGGCACACAGTTTTGAGGCACTGAAAGACCCCCTGAGCAGAGTCCTCCTGTCCATTCTCCTGTGTTATAGCAGAATAATCCTAAATCCTCCAAAATGACTACAACTTCTTATGGTATGGACAAGTTGTGGTATATGATTTTGATGGAATTGTGCTATAAGAAATGATGAACTCAATGATCTTAGGGGAAAAAAAACATGAAAAGACTTGCATAAAATAATGAACAGTGAAATAAGCAGAACCAAAGAACATTATATACAGTAACAACAATATCATTTTAAGAATGACTGAGCAAATAAGTCATTTTGACTATCATAAATATCCAAATTAACTATAAAGGACACATGAAGATAGACACCATCTCCATCCAGAGAATGAACTGATAAATAGAAGTATGTATAGAATAATTTTACACGTATGCTTATTTTTGCCTAGTAGTAGCCATCTCTAGGGTGGGGAGGAGGGAAGTAAAAAAAGAGAGAAAAGAAATTTACATAATAACTCTATTGTATATTTAAAAAGAATAGCAAGTTGTACATAATAGATTTGTAGTATCATGTGTAATCACCCTTTTCATCATGTTATGTTATGGAAATGCTTGCTTTATTCCACAAATTAAAAATAAAATAATTTTTAATAAAATGACCAAGAAGAGTTGTGGTTTGGAAAAAGCCTCATGGAAGGAAATTTTCAGTTTTTAAACAGCATATTGATATCTCTGAGACTGTGTAGTGACCTTGAAAACTTAGCTCATTTGCCACTCTCTTTATGAAAACTTCCTTGACTCTTCTCTCTCATCTATTAGTACCACTACCCAGAAAATATTTTGCAATTATGTATATTTATATATGCGTGGACACATGTGTATATATATAATTTGCATAATGCATATTTTTCAAATTACTCATTTATGCATTATTGCCTCTTATAAAATATATACTCCTTGGGAGAAAGGATTGTTTTTCTTTTACTTTGCCTGGCACCTCGTAGATAATAAATACAAGTTGATTGATGCAGGAATGTTTTTCAAGTCTATCCCAAGTCCCTGAAACTGTATGTGTAATGTTGTATAGCACAAAGGATTGTGCAGCTTGGGAATCAGGAGATCTGGGTTGGAATCTTGACTTTGCTGTTTACTAGCTATGTGAGCTTGAGCAAGCTGTGTAACATATCTGGGTCTTATTTGTCTCCTGTATATGCAATGGAGATAATCAATGGCACATCATTACCTCCTGTCTGCTGACCTGGGAACTGTAGAAACCACTGCATCTTGGCATCAAGCACCCCCATTACATATAAAAGGAGGCAGAAACCTGGACTAGATGACTTCTAACATCCTGTCCACATGGAAAATGCTGACTCCGTGAACCTAGTTAAACCAGCTTCTAAAATATTAATGTGTTAAAGTTATGACATATCAATTAAAAATGAAAAAAAAAATTCTTCCCAAATAGATTTCCTTTGTTGTAGGGTGCTTGTCTAGGGATTGAATTGCTAAAA